AGCCGATCCCCTCCAACACTTCGCGCAGCTTCATGTACCATTGCCTAGGGGCCTGCTTCAGCCCATAGAGGGCCTTCTTCAGCTTCCACACTCTGCCACTACCATCATCAAACCCCTCTGGCTGCGCCATAAAAATCTCCTCCTCAAGGATGCCGTTAAGGAATGCCGTTACGATGTCCATTTGCTTTACTACCCATCCTTTGATGGCGGCTCCCGCGAATAGGGTTCGCAGCGTCGTCGGCTTCACCACAGGGGCAAACAGCTCCTTGAAGTCCACCTTCTCCTTCTGCTGGTACCCCTTGGCTACAAGCCTAGACTTGTAGCGCTCGATCTTGCCGTCGGCATCCGACTTGATTTTGAAGAGCCACTTGGACGTTATCGCCGTACGCCCCTCCGGTAGCTCCACCAATTCAAACGTGTCATTCTCCTCGATGCTCTTCAGCTCACTCTCCATGGCCTTCTTCCACTCCTCAGCATCACTACTCTCCAAAGCCTCCTTGAGAGTTGCTGGTTCTCCCGGCATCTCCACCGGAGAGAAGAACGCGAAGGCACACTCCTCGTAGTCACTCTCCTCGTCGTCTCCGACCATCATTGCCGCTCCGGCCAGGGCTGTCTTGCCCTGCTTTCCCGGTGCATCATAGGTCAGCCTATTAGGGGGTTGAACTCTCCTCTTCCCCCTTCCTTCCTCCTCAGCTGCAGGGACTTGAAGGCCTTTGCGTTGCTGCGGTGTGGCTCGAATCCGTGGAGCACTCGTAGTACGGGAAGGGAGTGACGGTGCACGCTCGCTCACTTGCTGCACCTCCTCCTCTTCTTCCTCTGCATCATTGGCCTCCTCTCCCCCATTCACAAGGGAGGATTGCCTTGTGGTTGTGCTGCCGCTGCTCAGCTCCAAAGGCAGCTCCACATGCTCCAAACCGGAACTCTTCACCTCCCCAAACCGCACGCCTATCTTCGCCTCATTCTCCGCCTTCCAATCCTTGTACATGAAGTTCTCCATGAACTTGCAGTCCCTGCTCACCAAGAACTTCTTGGTGAATGGGTCCCAAAGAAGCCATCCCTTGCTGTTTTGAGCCATGCCCAAGTGCACGGCCCACACCGCCTTGGCACCAAGCTTGTTGTGCCGAAGATGCTTAGGCACGAGCGCCATGCACATGCACCCGAACACCCGAAGCATATCCACCTTTGGCTTCCTTCCTAGCCACTCCACATAGGGCACCCATTTGTCTGCTCCCACATGAGTCAAGGCTCTGTTCTTGGCCACACACGCGCTCCGCACCGCATCAGGCCAGAAATAGTCGGGTAGCCCGGCTTCAATGAGCAACCCGCGTGCCGCCTCCGTGATTGTGCGGTTCGCTCGCTCGGCGATGCCGTTCATTGCAGGGGAGTATGGCATGGTGAGGGAGTGCCGAATACCATTCTTCTTCAGCCACAACCCAAACTCCTTGCTCAGGAACTCTCCCCCTCGATCGGTGCAGATTGACTTGACTAGACGGTCTTGTTGCCGCTCCACCATCGGGAACCAATCCGTCTTCAACGTTTCAGCCACGTCGCTCTTCTTGGCCAGCACGTACACCCAAGTCATGCGGGTGTAGACGTCGACAATGGTGAGAAAATACTCAGCTCCAGCATCTCCAAGCTTCAGGGGGCCCACCACGTCCATCACCACCTCATCAAGCGGTGCCTTTGCCGTTGCCTCCGAACTAGGGAACGGAAACCGGGTGAACTTGGCTTGAATGCATGTCGGGCAGCCAAGCACCTCATCGGGCTCCCCCTTCACACGTATGCCAGCAACCATCTCATTCTTCACTAGCTGCTGCAAGATGGGCAGGGCCACATGCCCCATGCGCCGATGCAAGGTGAGCCAATCACACTCCCCCGTAGCCGAAGTTGGATTGGAGAATGCCGCGCTCGCAATAGCGCCCCACATACTCTCTCCGTAGTCCTCCTCCGCTGCTGCCTCTGGGTTCTCCTCACCCTTTTGCTGCTCCTTGGTTGCTGCACCACTCTCCTTAGGTTCACTGAACTTGCTGGTCCCTCCAGGTTTGCTCTTCTTGAGCTCATTCTCCTTAGCGCGACCGTTCGCGCCATCGTCGCTACCGACCGCTCCATCCTTGGTGCTGATGCTTGCTGCCACTTGCCTCTCCTTAGGCATAGGGACCACTGGGATCTGCCACATCTCGTTGTAGACATCCCTGTCCTCATGAAGGTCCCAAAGAATTTGATCGCCAAGCCTTGCGGTGTAGGTCTTGGCTCCCTTCGAGTTCGTGTCCATGCCGGCCTTTGCCAACCGCCGCACGGAAATCAGGTTTGCAGCAAGGCTGGGCACCCAAAGCACGTTCTTGAGGCCCACCATCTTCCCATCAGCACCCTTGAACATGGCCTTGCCCATGCCTTTCACCTCTGCTCGCTGCCCCAAAGCCGATGTGACATGCTTCACCGGTGACGGCTCGAGTTCGGTGAGCAAGTCCGCACGAGGTGTCATGCTATAGGTAGCGCCGCTATCGATCACCCAATAGTCCAGGGAGTGTAGGGTGACCTTTCCTACAGCTGCTGGCTCCTCAAAGCTTTCATCATTCTCTGGACCAGCCGGTGCTTGCGTGGACACGAAGAAGAATTGACCCGGGAAGCGATCGTCCCTCGACTCGCTCTCGTTGCCGGCACTCTTCATACTTGCAGCACCACCTCCGCGACCGCCACGGCCTCCACGGCCTCTTCCTCTCCCTCCTCCTGCTCCTCTACCCTCTTGGCCTTGAGCAGGAGTCCATCCATCAGGGAGTTTGTAGCAATCGCGCCACATGTGTCCGCTCTTGTGGCAAAAATGACACTCGCCATCGAACCGTCCGCGACCGCGTCCATTGTTCTTGTTGTCATTGCCGTATCCGCTACTCCCGCGGCCTCCGTTGAAGTTGCTGCCTCCAAACCTTCCTCCTCCTCGTCCTCTGCCCCTTCCACGGCCATATCCATGGCCGATGCTTGCTGCCCCGGCGCCATCCGCACTCGCCAACTCACGGCGACGGAAATCCTCTTGAAGGATCGCTCGCTTCACGTCTTCGAGTGAGAGGCGGGGCAAGTCACGATTGAGGTTGATGATGAGAGAGGACCATGACTCTGGGAGTAAGGCCAGCAACTTGGTCTTCTTTTGGAGCTCACTGTAGTTCAAATCAGCTCCCTCAAGCCGCGTCAACAAGTCGAAGAATTTCTGCACCCCTTCTTCAACCGCTTCGTCTTCTTCAATTCGTAGTGCCGCCATTTGCCGTTCCAACACCACCGCTACCGCCGCTGTTGCAGGAGCATGTACACCCTTGAGAGCAGCCCATGCCTTTGGTCCCTTCTCTGGTTCACGCTGGTATGGCTTGATGTGACGGATCTGGCTGCTCCCCAACGCTTGCCCAAGTAGGAGATAGCCTTGTGCGCTCTTCCGCACCCACGGGCTCTTCTCCGGGTCGTTCTCGGGGCGCTTCTCCGTTCCTTCCATCACCTCCAGCAGGTCATAGTGGTTAAAGATGTTCTCCATCTTGAAGGACCATTCAGCAAAGTTGTCACCGTTGAACTTGTCAAGCCCAAACACCCTAGGCTCATCCCTAGGTGGGCCAAGACTTGGTTGCATGGGCGCCATGGCTGAATCACGGGGTTGGCCTTGAGCTTGAGCTTCTCCACTGCCACCAGCACCTCTGCCACCCCTTTCCTCAGGTCCAGACATTGTCGAAACTGCTCCAAGGGGCTCTGATACCACTTGTTATAGTCACAATAGCCTTGAATGTGCCTAAAACGAAAGATAGAGTGCACAGACGGATTTCCGCACAGCGGCTTCAAACGTTGATAGCGTTCTGCTCACAGCTGCAAATGACTTGATTCAAATTGGATCTGGAGCGTCTTGACGTCGCCTACAATACGCAATTTAGATTGCACGATTTCATAAAGAATTGACGACACAGCGTCGGTTTGAACGAACGGTACTATGGCAGCCACTATAGTCTTAGAACACAAGATAGGAAGAGTTACGAGTTGGGAATGACTCCCAGCTCCTACAAACCCCAAGAGCCGAGGTACAGTGATGTGGAACAGTGCCACACTGTCCCCAACCACGAAGGGTCTCGAAACTACCCTTCACTAGGGCCTACACCAAGTGAAATGTTACACTACACAAAGTAATGTAACTATCTTCAATATCTTGAGGTGTACCCTTTTGGCAAGCTTCGAAATCACTTGAGGCTTGACACCAAGGCTCGGGCTCTTCATCACAAACTCATCCTTGAGTTCTTGATGGGTCTGCTGCACACACCTGCGACACGCCGAACGTTCGACACAGGACAAAATAGAAACCGCGCACGACAAAATAGAAACCGCGCGCGAGACACAAACGACCGCGTAACACGCGTCTAGCGATAACTCGCTATTGACTCGACACACACACTCGACATCATGACTCAACATTCACACACAATTATAAGCATGAAATATATATTATCCCATGCCCTCATACCATTCCATACACACACACATTCACGCACACGGACAACAAGCCGAGTGCAAACCGTAGGGTTGCACCAACAGTCAGCAGGGCCTGTCGGTGACTACCGGACAATTTTGCCCACATTGATGGCCCCTTAGTTGGCGCGCCTGGTCCGATCATTGGCCACATTTGCAACATTATGTGACTTGACCAATTACAAGGTTGCAGCACAGCGATGCGGGCAGGCTGCACTGCGAGGGATTCTGGCCCATGTGTTGAACCTGTGGTCCAGTGGCCCGTTTTGTCTAGGTCGTGCTGTCAAGCACTGATGCATCCACGCCGCCCAGCCGTGCTACCTGCCATCCAGCCTCACATCCCGTTCTGCTCCATGCCTTCCTTCCAACTGCTTGGGGTTTCATCGCGTTGCTGCCTGGTGTACCAAGAGGCAGTCAGCCGTGTGTTTTCTCTTCCTGGCAAACCTCTAACGTCTTTCTTGTTAGGCTAGTTCGTTAGTCCCGTTAGATGCTGCTTGGTAGCGCTGCAATCAATGGCGGACCACTCGGACACCATAGAACAAAATGGTGACCACGGCGATGATGCCCATCGTCGTTCGCCAGTTGATCTGTCCGCTGCTGTTACCGGCCTAAATCTGCTTTTCTCCAACTTAGCGCCAGTTGAAAACCATGGAAAGGCGCCTGCTGTCGCGCCGCCCGTCGATATTCCATTTGAACCCATCGACGAGCCTCTGTGTCCCTCTCCTACTGCGCCCGTGTTGGAGCAAGACAGCTCCAACCCTTCTGTTGAAGAAACTGCGGCGGTACCAGTGGCTAAGAAGACCGCCAGGTACACGCGGTCAACGCTGCCGTGGGGCAAGAATGGAGGTAACGCTGGAGCAACACCGGCTTCGCCAGCCGACCAGCGGTCGACGCCCGCGACCGCAGGCACGCAGATGTCGCCATCAACTCCTGGGCCTTCAAAACCAGCAGGTCCAGACGCAATTTACGCGGAGGCTCTGTACAAGTACAAAAGCGAGTGGCTAGAGCGGTTTTCCTGCCTAATTCTGCTTAAAACTTCTGACGGTCTCCCTGCTTTCAAGTGCAGCATCTGTACGGAGCACGCAGGATACGCTGGACCGTGCGGGAGAGGCGGAAAGGGCGCCACAGACGTTCAGACGCAGGCGTTCAAACGACATGCGGCAACAACCAAGCACAAGGAGGCGTTTAAACACCAGGAGAAGCTCCTCTCGGAAGCAGCCACGCAGCCACGTATCAACGGCGACAATCTCGCTCGCGACACGGAGAAGGAGCGTGTCATCAAGCTCCTCGACTCCCTGCTCTTCGTGACCAAGCAAGATGCACCCATAGAGTTATGGGTGAATCTTGTGCGCTACCTCGCGCGTCTTAAGGTGCCAGGGTTCCCCGGTAAAGGCTACGGAACCTATTATGCGACGTGAGTTTTGATTTCCTCTAATTGCAACCGTGTTTGTGAAGATCAAATGTATTCTCTGACATTGTGTTGTTTGACATGCGCTGCAGATACGGCTTCGGGCAGCTGACACAGTCGATGGCCACATGGTTGCACACAACGCAACTGCAGCACATCCTTTGCAGCCCATACCTTAGCGTCACATGCGACGAAAGCACGGACAGGTGTCGGGGAAAGCATATGATTGTTCTCGCGACATTCATCCGTGACAATCGTCCCGTGACTGAGTTTCTTGCCCTGCTGACCGTGGAGAAGGGCGATGCAGCCTCTCTCCTCTCAGTGCTCCTGTCTCACCTGCAGGCCCTTGGCATTGAACTGGCGAGGATATCCAGCATAAGCACTGACGGAGCGAGTGTGATGATGGGGAAACACAACGGCCTGGTCGATCGACTTCGCCTCTGCATCCCGCATCTCGTCTCGAGCCACCGCATCGCCCAGAGGTCAGTTTTTATCTTGTGTTTCCTGCTTCCCTAAAGTACCTGCAGCATCCCGTGCTAATCCCTCCTTGAGCCGGTTTGCTTGGTGTTGTGCATGCAGGGAGGCGCTCGCAGCTAAGGACGCCGCTGAACAACTCCCCGAGTTCGGGATGGTGGACGCCCTGGTCCGCCAAGTGGCTGAGCATTTGGGGCGTTCTGGCCCGTGGCATCAACGGTTTATTGGCCTGCAGGAGGTCTTCACGAGAACGAACCTGGAGCTACAAGGGATCCACGATGTCCGCTGGCTCTCCCGGGGCGACGCCATTCTGCGCGCGGTAGAGGTCTTCCCCGCGCTGATCGTGATGCTGTATGAGTGGGACAGGACCCTGTACGAGCTCGCCACCAGCTACAGGTTTCACTTTCTGTTAAACTTCCTTGCAGACGTGCTCGAGCAGCTCAATGTGCTGAACAGGGCATTCCAGCAGCGTGAGGTGAGCATGGTTACTATCAACGCTGGATTGTGTGCCTAGTTTCTGTTTGTGCTTCACTGTTTGGTGTATTGCTTAACAGGAAGCGGCATTGCACTGATTTGGCCTTCATTCCACCCTCTGTTCGCCCTGTTGACCCCTAACAGCTGGACATTGCAAGTGTCCACGGGCAGATCCGCCGGTCTATTTCATTCCTCGAGTCCCGCTACGTCGACTATGGTGACGAATTTGGAGGCGGGATGAGCGCGCGCCTCTCCCCGTTCATCAAGAAGCACGGGCCTGAGGGGGGCAATCCCGAGGTGAAGGTGCAGGGAGTCGACTCGGACGGGCGGCCCACTACACACAACTTCCAGCTGCACGAGAACCTGAGCGAAGACTACCCGACCCTCGGCTCCCACGACGACTGCGTCGATCTCTGCACCACCTTCGCCGAGACGCTCGTGCGAAACCTCAGCACACGGTTCAAGGACCTGGACTCCCTAGTGGGAGTGCGGCTGTTCATGCCTGACGAGTGGAAGCTGGGGAGAGCGGAGCGCCACAGGCAGTGTCTCGAGTGGCTCGAGTCTCTCGTGAGGCTGTTCAGGGCACAGGACACGGACTACATCATTCCAGGTATTCCCGCTCTCGCATTGTTGCTGTCCGTGATGATGGGTTATTGCATGTTATCATTGTATGGTGTACGAGTATGCCAGCCTTTCTAATTCCCCCTCTCTCTCCCTTCTGCCTTATGTGGCAGGGGTCGACAAGCGGCATGCGATCAAGGAGCTGCGTGCCTTCTGCCCCATCCTCGCAGGTGCCCCAGCGAACGAGCGCAGCTTCCACGCCGGCCTAACAGCAATGCTGAAGACAAGCGACTGGGCGACTAGCTACCCCAATCTGGTGCGTCTCTGAGTGGTTGTTGCCGTGCTGCCGCTGAGCACAGTGGAGTGTGAGCGCGGCTTCTCACGCCAGAACGTTATCAAATCGTGGCAGCGGGGGAGCTTGAAGGACGCCCGCCTCGAAGACCTCATCACGATGTCTCTACTCGAGTACGAGCCCAACTACGATGAGGTGGTGCAGATCTGGCGCAGCTACAAGAAGCGCCGCCCATTCGGCAATGTGGCGGCACCACCAGCAAGAGAGGGGGAGGGCAGTGGTAGCAAGGGAAAGGAGGCCCTAGAGGAGGAGGAGTTGGAAGAACGACAGGCTAAGGGAAGAGATGATGATGATGACAAGCAAGCCTCATCTGATGATGATTTCTGAACTCTCCCAGACCCAAAGTCATGCTTGATGCCTTGCATAGCTAGCTAGCAAGATATTCTTTGGTTTAGAATACAGATAGATAGATTGAAGGCTGCTTGCTTCCTTCCTAGTGTTTTTTAATTATAATAGAGAGAATTAGTACTATCAGCCTTTTTCTGTAGGGAACACTGATGCATCAGACTTTTTTTAATAGTAACACTGAACTTTCAGGCTTTTTTTCTAGGCGACCCTGACAATCAGTGTTTCTAGGCAGAGGGTCTTTGATACCATTACGTGCCCAAAAGTGAATCTGAGGGCCTGCCGTCCGCCTTCGTCTTAATCGAGAAGGCCCACTTGCCGGATAGGTTATTCTGGTTAGGAACTGTCGAAATGGGGATTAAAATCCCACGTGTTATTGTCGTGCAGCGCCTTCTGCTCCTCGTCTATGGTTTCGCGCCATTTTTCACGATGACGCCCCTTGAGAGCTTGCTCAAGTGTTTTCGGTTCGGTAGAGACTGTAGAGTTCTGTACAGCGACTGCTAATCCCAGTACGTTATCTGTAAACCCGTCTGTCGATAGCGAGTCTGCTCCTCAGTCTCGTTAGTAGCAGCTTCATCCAGGGCCTCAGAAGTCAGCGAAAAAAGGCTGATTAGGGGTAAAAAGGCTGTGTTTTCAGTGCTGGGTAGATAGTGGAGCTGATTTGGCAGTTTTTTTTTTTTAGGTGTTGGCTGAAATTTCCGGTTTTTTTTCAAAGTATGGGCTGAATTATCAGTTTTTTTTTTCTGTACTATACACTGCCTGATCAGAGTTGTATCGAGGGGGTGGGCTGAAATCGCTTTACTGGGGATTCGCGTAGGTGCCCTGTATTCCGGATGTCTAGGTACACCGGAAGGACCGACCCCCCGTCAATCACGGCGAAATGTCAAGATTCCCTGCCAACGCATTGGGAAATGGCATCATTCCCGCACTTACCTTGCACTGCTGTCGCCGAGCGAAGGTGCCTTGCGCTGCCCTGCCCTGGAGCTTGCGCGCTGCCCTGCCCTGGAGCCCGTGCCCCGCCCTTCCCTGCAGCTAGCGCGCCGCCCTGCCCTACAGCCCGCGCGTCGGCTTGCCCTGCAGCCCGCTCGTCGCCCTGCCCTGCAGCTTGTGCGTCGCCCTGCCTTGCAGCTTGCGCGCCGCCCTGCCCTGCGGCCTGCGCGTCGCCTCGCCCTGCAGCTAGCGCGCCTCCCTGCCCTGCAGCCCGCGCGCCGCCCTGCCTGCGCGCTGCCTTAGCTGCCAGCACGCAGCTCTAGTTGCCCACGCTCTGCCCTCGCCACTACGCTGCCCGTCATGGCAACGCCACCAGTCTTAGCGTTTGACGCCGACGGACTCCCGTACCGGTTCGACTTCTGGCTTATGTGCCTGCGCTTGCATCTCCGGTGTTACCTCAGAGATGGCGTCTCCCTACTCGGGCACACGTCGGGGTCACTTCCGGCCCCCACGACTCCCACTGAGCCTGCTGCTGACGCTGACGAGGACATGCAGAGGCAGTACCGGGCGGATAGCCTCGCCTACAGACAGTGGACGGAGCGCGACGCTATTGCCCAGCGTGCAGTCCGATCTCTCCTGCCGGTCGACCAGAGGGACCACTTTCGACAGGTGACGTCGGCCCAGGCTTTGTTCGACGCTGTTGTTATACACTACTCCTCCCTCTCTCCTGTCACCCAGCCTCTACAGCAGCGGCAGCAGAGTCAGCCGGAGACCCCCTCGCCGCAGCAGCTTAGGGAGTGTTTTTCTCAGCGACGCGTCCCTGGTGGTGCAGAGTGTTACGCGTCCCTGGTGGTACGGACCGTCTGCACGGTAACGAGACCGACGACGCTCTGGGGACACAGCACGACTGAGGGGAGAACGACGAGTCCACTGGGACGAGGAAAGGGACTCAACAGGGGGAACAGGAGGGGACGGTAGGGGACCACGAACAATGCGTGCAGGTGCTGGGTCGAAGAGGTCGCGTAGTCGCAATCGCAGCTGCTCCGCCTCCTCTGGCGTCTGCTGCGACGACACCGGCCCCTGCTGCTGCTCCTGTGGCTCCGCCTCTGCCCTCTCCTGCTGCGACTGCAGCTGCACCCGCTGCTGCGACCGGGACTCCTGCGCTACCCTCTCCTGCTGCGGCCGTGACTCCTCCTGTACTCTCTCCTGCTGGGTCTGTAACTGCACCTGCTGCTGCGGGCGGGACTCCTGCTCTACCCTCTCCTGGTGCGGCCGTGACTCCTCCTGTACTCTATCCTTCTGGGTCTGTAACTGCACCTGCTGCTGCGGGCGGGACTCCTGCTCTACCCTCTCCTGCTGCGGCTGCAGCTGCACCCGCTGCTGCGACCGGGACTCCTGCGCTACCCTCTCGTGCTGCTGTTGTGACTCCTCCTCTACTCTCTCGTGCTGCTGTAGCTGCTACTGCTGCTGCTGCTGCTGCTGCTGCTGCTGCTGCTCTTGCTGCTGCTGCTGCTCCTGCTGCTGCTGCTGCTGCTGCTGCTGCTGCTGCTCTGCCCTCTCGCATCGCTCACGCTCCTCCCCCTCCAACCGGAGGAGACGCTGCTCACGGGTCAGGAAACGTATAGTGCGCGGTGTAGGCGCCACAGTGCCTGTTGGTGCAACCCTACGGTTTGCACTCGGCTTGTTGTCCGTGTGCGTGAATGTGTGTGTGTATGGAATGGTATGAGGGCATGGGATAATATATATTTCATGCTTATAATTGTGTGTGAATGTTGAGTCATGATGTCGAGTGTGTGTGTCGAGTCAGTAGCGAGTTATCGCTAGACGCGTGTTACGCGGTCGTTTGTGTCTCGCGCGCGGTTTCTATTTTGTCGTACGCGGTTTCTATTTTGTCCTGTGTCGAACGTTCGGCGTGTTGCAGGTGTGTGCAGCAGACCCATCAAGAACTCAAGGATGAGTTTGTGATGAAGAGCCCGAGCCTTGGTGTCAAGCCTCAAGTGATTTCGAAGCTTGCCAAAAGGGTACACCTCAAGATATTGAAGATAGTTACATTACTTTGTGTAGTGTAACATTTCACTTGGTGTAGGCCCTAGTGAAGGGTAGTTTCGAGACCCTTCGTGGTTGGGGACAGTGTGGCACTGTTCCACATCACTGTACCTCGGCTCTTGGGGTTTGTAGGAGCTGGGAGTCATTCCCAACTCGTAACTCTTCCTATCTTGTGTTCTAAGACTATAGTGGCTGCCATAGTACCGTTCGTTCAAACCGACGCTGTGTCGTCAATTCTTTATGAAATCGTGCAATCTAAATTGCGTATTGTAGGCGACGTCAAGACGCTGCAGATCCAATTTGAATCAAGTCATTTGCAGCTGTGAGCAGAACGCTATCAACGTTTGAAGCCGCTGTGCAGAAATCCGTCTGTGCTCTCTATCTTTCGTTTTAGGCACATTCAAGCCTATTGTGACTATAACAAGTGGTATCAGAGCCCCTTGGAGCAGTTTCGACAATGTCTGGACCTGAGGAAAGGGGTGGCAGAGGTGCTGGTGGCAGTGGAGAAGCTCAAGCTCAAGGCCAACCCCGTGATTCAGCCATGGCGCCCATGCAACCAAGTCTTGGCCCACCTAGGGATGAGCCTAGGGTGTTTGGGCTTGACAAGTTCAACGGTGACAACTTTGCTGAATGGTCCTTCAAGATGGAGAACATCTTTGACCACTATGACCTGCTGGAGGTGATGGAAGGAACGGAGAAGCGCCCCGAGAACGACCCGGAGAAGAGCCCGTGGGTGCAGAAGAGCGCACAAGGCTATCTCTTACTTGGGCAAGCGTTGGGGAGCAGTCAGATCCGTCACATCAAGCCATTCCAGCGTGAACCAGAGAAAGGACCAAAGGCATGGGCTGCTCTCAAGGGTGTACATGCTCCTGCAACAGCGGCGGTAGCGGTGGTGTTGGAACGGCAAATGGCGGCACTACGAATTGAAGAAGACGAAGCGGTTGAAGAAGGGGTGCAGAAATTCTTCGACTTGTTGACGCGGCTTGAGGGAGCTGATTTGAACTACAGTGAGCTCCAAAAGAAGACCAAGTTGCTGGCCTTACTCCCAGAGTCATGGTCCTCGCTCATCATCAACCTTAATCGCGACTTGCCCCGCCTCTCGCTTGAAGACGTGAAGCGAGCTATCCTTCAAGAGGATTTCCGCCGCCGTGAGTTGGCGAGTGCGGATGGCGCTGGGGCAGCGAGCATCGGCCGTGGATATGGTCGAGGAAGAGGCAGAGGACGAGGGGGAGGAAGGTTTGGTGGCAGCAACTTCGGCGGAGGCCGCAGGAGTGGCGGTTACGGCAGCGACGACGAGAGCTACGGACGCGGTCGCGGCCGATTCGACGGCGAGTGTCACTATTGCCACAAGAGCGGACACATGTGGCGCGACTGCTACAAACTCCCTGATGGTTGGACCCCTGCTCAAGGCCAAGAGGGTAGAGGAGCAGGAGGAGGGAGAGGACAAGGCCGTGGAGGCCGTGGCGGTCGCGGTGGCGGAGCTGCAAACATGAAGAGCGGAGACAACGACAAGGACCCGAGCGACGATCGATACCCGGGTCTATTCTACTTCGTGTCGACGCAAGTACCGGCTGGTCCAGAGAAGGATGAAGGCTTTAAGGAGCCAGCAGCTGTGGGGAAGGTGACCCTACACCCCCTGGACTATTGGGTGATTGATAGTGGCGCTACCTATAGCATGACACCTCGCCCGGACTTGCTCACCGAACTCGAGCCGTCACCGGTGAAGCATGTCACATCGGCTTTGGGGCAGCGAGCAGAGGTGAAAGGCATGGGCAAGGCCATGTTCAAGGGTGCTGATGGGAAGATGGTGGGCCTCAAGAACGTGCTTTGGGTGCCCAGCCTTGCTGCAAACCTGATTTCCGTGCGGCGGTTGGCAAAGGCCGGCATGGACACGAACTCGAAGGGAGCCAAGACCTACACCGCAAGGCTTGGCGATCGAATTCTTTGGGACCTTCATGAGGACAGGGATGTCTACAACGAGATGTGGCAGATCCCAGTGGTCCCTA